AGACAAAATCATGTGATTCTGATGTCAGAACCTCAGAAAGACAAAATCATGTAACCCTGATGTCATAACCTCAGAAAGACAAAATCATGTGACCCTGATGTCAGAACCTCAGAAAGACATAATCATGTGAGACTGATGTCAGAACCTCAAAACAAAATCATGTGACCCTGATGTCAGAACCTCAGAGAGACAAAATCATGTGACCCTGATGTCAGAACCTCAGAAAGACATAATCATGTGAGACTGATGTCGGAACCCCAGAAAGACAAAATCATGTGACTCTGATGTCAGAATCCCAGAAAGACAAAATCATGTGACCCTGATATAAGAACCTCAGAAAGACAAAATTATGAGACTTTGATGTCACATGTCAGAACCTCAGAGAGACAAAATCATGTGACTTTAATGTCACATGTAAGAAACTCAGAGAGACAAAATCATGTGACTTTAATGTCACATGTCAGAACCTCAGAGAGACAAAATCATGTGACTTTGATGTCAGAACCTCAGAGAGACAAAATCATGTGACTTTGATGTCACATGTCAGAACCTCAGAGGGACATAATCATGTGACTCTGATGCCAGAACCTCCGAAAGAAAAAATCATGTGACCCTGTTGTCATAACTTCAGAGAGACAAGATCATGTGACTTTGATGTCACATGTCAGAACCTCAGAAAGACAAAATCATGTGACCCTGATGTCATAACCTCAGAAAGACAAAATCATGTTACCCTGATGTCGGAACCTCAGGAAGACAAAATCATGTGACCCTGATGTCAGAACATCAGAAAGACAAATTCATGAGACTTTGATGTCACATATCAGAACCTCAAAGACACAAAATCATGTGACTTTAATGTCACATGTCAGAACCTCAGAGAGACTAAATCATGTGACTTTCATGTCAGAACCTCAGAGAGAGATAATCATGTGATTCTCATGTCAGAACTTCAGAAAGACAGAATCATGTGACTTTGATGTCAGTAGCTCAGAGAGACAAAATCATGTGACTTTGATGTCAGAACCTCAGAGAGACAAAATCATGAGACCCTGATGTCACATGTCATAACCTCAGAGAGACAAAATCATGTGACTTTGATGTCAGAACCTCAGAGAGACAAAATCATGTGATTCCGATGTCAGAACCTCAGAGAGACAAAATCATGTGATTCCGATGTCAGAACCTCAGAGAGACAAAATCATGTAACCCTGATGTCAGAACCTCAGAGAGACAAAATCATGTGACCCTGATGTCAGAACCTCAGAGAGACAAAATCATGTGACCCTGATGTCATAACCTCAGAGAGAGATAATCATGTGACTCTGATGTCATAACCTCAGAAAGACAAAATCATGTAACCCTGATGTCATAACCTCAGAGAGACAAATCATGTGACCCTGATGTCAGAACCTCAGAAAGACAAAATCATGTGACTCTGATGTCATAACCTCAGAGAGACAAAATCATGTAACCCTGATGTCATAACCTCAGAAAGACAAAATCATGTGACCCTGATGTCAGAACCTCAGAGAGACAAAATCATGTGACCCTGATGTCAGAACCTCAAAACAAAATCATGTGACCCTGATGTCAGAACCTCAGAGAGACAAAATCATGTGTATCTGATGTCAAAACCTCAGAGAGACAAAATCATGTGACTTTAATGTCACATGTCAGAACCTCAGAGAGACAAAATCATGTGATTCTGATGTCAGAACCTCAGAAAGACAAAGTCATGTGACCCTGATGTCAGAACCTCAGAAAGACGAAATCATGTGATTCTGATGTCAAAACCTCAGAAAGACAAAATCATGTGACCCTGATGTCAGAACTTCAGAAAGACAAAATCATGTGACCCTGATGTCAAAACCTCAGAAAGACAAAATCAGTTGACCCTGATTTCTGTTTCTCAGAGAGATGAGTTCTGTAAAGAATAGAAATCTTAAATTCAAAAATAATCTCTTATTCTAAATTGTGAAAATATTTTTGTTCCACCTTAAGTGATACAAGTGCTACAACTGGCTTGTTATGTGTAAGAATTGAAGGAATCACTGTCCTTCATTAGCATCAATGGTGAATTTAACCCATCCTCTTTGTTTGTAGAAGATGCTGTTTGCTTATTTTACAGTATCTAAGTTGGTAAGATGTCTGATTAATGTCCTCTCATAGTGGCTATTTGTCTGTTAAGAAAACAGATCTTCTCAGAAAGATCTCTTTCATCAAGATACAAGTTATTTGTATACTTCATATGTTTGGCATTCAAAAAACATAGCTTGATCCCATGAAGTTCCTGTTACATAGAGCCAATTGATACAAATTGATACATGTATAAGTGAGAGCATGAATTTACTTAGATACTAGAATAAAATTGAATCCACATTCATAGTAATTTACATGAAAAAAAAAAGATCTTGAATGATGTGTGTGTCATTTATCAGTATGGTCACTGAGCTATATTAAACTTAAGGTCACAGTAACTGAAGATGGTGACCAAAAATATGCCAATATATTTTATTTTTTAACTTTATGAGTTTTTTTTTATTGAAGGTCTCTGTTCATCACATAGTAGTACAGTGATGTGCTACCTATCCAGGAGTAGCCAAAATCAGGCCTATGTAACCTTTTTGACAAAATTTTTTGGCTGAAAAAGTTGAATAAAATTTGATGTATCATTTGAGGAGACAAACTCAAGATTTTTTATTTTAGCCTCATCATGATACTAAAGGTGAATATCCAGTCAAGAGATTGTTCAGCAGGCAGAGGCTTTATTTGTGCCAGAGTCTAGGGTCTGCATGAGTAGTAGTTTATGATGGATCTTAACCAAACTCTGCCATCTGGTGACAAAACAAGCCTTACAAAGTCGAGGGTCCCCCGAAGTATAATGACTACTCTAACATTATATTAATGGTATTCCTGATCTAATGGCATTGTATGTTCATGTATTATTGCTATCAGGTCTTTTGAAATAATGATTCTTTATGGCAAGCATTTAGCTGGGGGAAAAAAGAGTGCCCACTTTTCTACTGACCTCAAGTGACTTGAGTTTTTTTCAGCTGGTCTGAATGAAGGAAAGAGCTGCTAGTTATTAGAACCTTTGGCAGTAGTTAGACAGATTAATGGCAAAAATGTCTAGTGGATAAAAACTAAATATTACTATGGATGTTAAGCTTTCATTAGAGCTGCATGAAGTAAATCTTAGTACTACCTGGTTTAGTGGCTTAGCGCTGCTAATAGTAAAAAGCTCATTTCGCGATTTCAGACAGCATTAGTAAGATACTGTTAGCACATTAGAAGTTTCAGAGTTGTTGAATTTTTTAAAAATAAAATTAGAGATTTGATTTGTACATTTTAACAATCAAATTTTATTTAGAAGTGTTATTTCCCCCTCTGTAAATGCATTGCATAGACAAAATATAACCATGTAACTATTCAGTCATTTGTATTTTCTTGTATGATGTATATATATATATAAACAGAAGAAAAATCTTAACCTTTTGTCTGTAAATAAAAGTGAAACTACACATCATCAGACACCCACATATTTGACCACAAGACAAGAGGGCTTGATGATGGCCCTTTGGTTGGTCTCATTTCCAGGCATCTGCAAACTAACGGGCAGTAAGTTCCTGAAATAAGTACTATTTATGTGCAGAGGAACTATCAAATACATGAAGACAATGATTTTGTGATGGAAATGAAAGGCTGAAATCCTTCTATATAGGTTTTATGGGACAATTATGCTCCCTTACGATTACTTTTTTAGCACACCTTGCCAAGGACAAAGAGCTTTTACTCTATTCTTTCTATATAGCCACCACTGGCATTGGTATTACATATAGTATTAATCCCTGTTAAAACTTTATGAGCTAGCTACTCCATTCCCTTGGACAATCTTGATTGGATGTTGCATTTAGGAATGGTCACTGATGGAGATGAATCAGAAACTAACTTGTTATATTACAAATAGTTTAGATCCTGATTTTTGTTCTTAAACAGATTTTTTGTCATTAGAGTATCATTGTTATTAAAACGGGGGCTCGGGAGATTTGACTCGCATCTCAATTCGACAATGCATTATCTTGTTTCTAATGAAGTTGACTGGCAGGTTTTACTTGATGACTTGAACAAACTTGAATTCATACTTAATAAAAATGATAATTGCCACAATGAGTTCTAACCCTTTTTTGTTGTCTACTCAGTACCGATTTCCTGCACTTTTAATTAAATTCAGTCATAAACCAAAAGTCTATGGCTTCAGAAATCACCTACATTTCATGCACAAATTTTTATGTTCATGTTCATTTTAAAAAAACTCACTTTTAGCATGTAGTTTCTTTCACACATTCCTGAAAATGAGATAGAAACAATTTCAACAATATTTTATGATTAAGAATACTTGGAAACTGAGCTATATTTCTTTGACAAAGAAGCGTCATTTTATGTCATTCTCAAGACAAGATGGATCAGCACTTGTCACTACCATATTAAGCCATGTATAGCAAATTACAGAATTCTGTCAAGAGTTGTTTTAACATAGTAAAATCTTTGTATACCATGATATTTTTGACATACAAAAGTTGACATACAAAAGGAAAACAGCTGAACTAGAATTTTATAAAGTGGTCTGTGACAAGGATGAAGATCTATCTGTATTAGACATTGTATGGTACTGAAGACATTCTTCATGAAATGGTCGAACAATATCATGTGCAGACATGAGTAAATTAAAATGACAATGTAGAGGTCAGTCTCAGAATCTAATTTTCCACAGCGCCATTGTTTGGCTTTGATCCCCTGTGAATGAACTCAGAGTGGAGCTGTAAACATGCTACACATGCTTCCTGTTTTGACATAAAGAACTACAGGGGGATCATATATACCAACGGGCCCATTAAACAGAAATTTACCTCTACACCTTTATTGAATGAATTCAAATAGGTTATTCATCCTGAAAACAACTGTCTCCATTTATATACTTGTAAATTTGAGAGAAAATTGCAGGTTATTATGATCATTGATTACTATTCCTAAAAAAATTGGTTTAATTAGTATTCTTTCCTTTCTTTCAGTTTAATGTTGGAGATGTTGCCAAGTTTAAGGTGCACAAGTCTGACCAGTCTTCTCTGGATCTAACAGTTTTCTATCAGGTAGAGTATCCCAGTATATACCAGGTAGGATATACCAGGTAGGGTATCCCAGTATATACCAGGTAGGGTATTCCAGTAAATACCAGGTAGGGTATTCTAGGTAGGGTATCCCAGTATATACCAGGTAGGGTATCCCAGTATATACTAGGTAGGATATACCAGGTAGGGTATCCCAGTATATACTAGGTAGGATATACCAGGTAGGGTATCCCAGTATATACTAGGTAGGATATACCAGGTAGGGTATCCCAGTATATACTAGGTAGGATATACCAGGTAGGGTATCCCAGTATATACTAGGTAGGATACACCAGGTAGGGTATCCTAGTATATACCAGGTAGGGTATTCCAGTAAATACCAGGTAGGGTATTCTAGGTAGGGTATCCCAGTATATACCAGGTAGGGTATATTAGGTAGGGTATCCCAGTATATACCAGGTAGGATATACCAGGTAGGGTATCCCAGTATATACCAGGTAGGGTATACCAGGTAGGGTATCCCAGTATATACCAGGTAGGGTATACCAGGTAGGGTATCCCAGTATATACCAGGTAGGGTATCCCAGTATATACCAGGTAGGGTATCCCAGTATATACCAGGTAGGGTATCCCAGTATATACCAGGTAGGGTATCCCAGTATATACCAGGTAGGATATACCAGGTAGGGTATCCCAGTATATACCAGGTAGGTTATCCCAGTATATACCAGGTAGGGTGTACCAGGTAGGGTATCCCAGTATATACCAGGTAGGGTGTACCAGGTAGGGTATCCCAGTATATACCAGGTAGGATATACCAGGTAGGGTATCCCAGTATATACCAGGTGGGATATACCAGGTAGGGTATCCCAGTATATACCAGGTGGGATATACCAGGTAGGGTATCCCAGTATATACCAGGTAGGATATACCAGGTAGGGTATCCCAGTGTATACCAGGTAGGATATACCAGTATATACCAGGTAGGATATCCCAGTATATACTAGGTAGGGTATTCCAGTAAATACTAGTTAGGATATCTCCGTATATACCAGGTAGGTTCAGTTAAGACATGTCTGTCACCAGGGTATTGTTTATGATTGTAGGTTTTCAGTAAAGGCATGTCTGTGACCAGTGGTACAGTTGACTTTGGACAGACTACATCAGCAATACTTCCTGTGACTGTCAGCAGGTGGATGTCTCCCATGGCAACAGTAATGGTATATGGTGTATCCAATGGTTACCTGCTTACAGCAATGCAGAAAATCAAAGTCAACCTCAATTTAAATGCCAAGGTAACAGAGAAATTTACAAGACCTTAGAAATGCATATATTTACGTCCAATGTATACTTTCACCTTTTAATTGTTGCAAAAAAACAAGAAAAGGCCAAAAAAAAAATAATGAATAGTTTCTCAGGCCAAAAAATTCAAAATTCAATGCGGCAGGCAGGCTTTTTTTTTTTTTTTTTTTTTTTTGAAGTAGGTTTGACTTTTTTTAAGCCAATTGTTTAATAAAATGATAATATCTACTAATTCTTAATTTTTGTTTTCTGAAATTTGTTAAAATATGTATTTAACTTTAAATAATGTTATTCCAAACATTTATTTAAAAGTTAATTCATAAAATACTGTAAATTTAGAAGAAATGTATTGTATTTCTAATCAAAACGTCTATCTTTGCATTTATTAAAAGGGGAATAACTCGATTTCCTTTTTCAACTTGGAAAAATTGAAAATTGAGTTATTTCCCTTTTCAATATGTCAATAAAATTTATCAATGCATCTGTTTTTGAACTGATGCGGCGGTGCCTGAGAAACTATGTATTAATTTTTTTTGGCCAAACTTATGTAATTTAAGGTAGATCTAGTATCATTATGTAGTTCAAATTTCCTATTTAATTCTCCATGTTCTACTTGAAAATTTTTATTACCACAGGCCAAGATGTCGTATGGGATTTCTCGAGCTGCGGTGGGGTCAGATGTCACTCTTACAGTGACCACACCAGAACAGAACTCGTACGTGGCAGTGGTGGCCATTGACAAGGGATCGGAGCTTCTCGGGACGATAGATATCACAGAGAAAGAGGTATCGGTACACAGCAAAAATAATTCATTATGAGGTGGGGAGAAAATGTGAAAACTATTGTAAGCTATTGCATTACTTGTTGATTTTTCAGATTTTAACAGGCTTAGAGATGTATGCTATGGGAAGTAATCCAGAAAATGGACCTAATAGACCTGTGATCATGAACAGGAAAAAGAGAACTGTAATTAATCCTTACTACCCATCCTACAGCACAGCTAAGATTCTTACAGTGAGTACAAGCCAAATCAGGCAACACAAATGTTAACTGTCCAACAATTATCTCAAATTTTACCAAAACATTATCTGATTCAAATTAATTATGGCTTAGCTGTATTATCTTTATCTATGAAGTATGACAGTTTCTTAGAATAAATATATTTATTTATAATCATGATAATGTCCAGAGAGATACAGTACAGGCAACGCGGATCCCGTATTAGACCGCGTCCCCTCCGCGGTGTATTAATCCTTTCCGCGTTACACCGTCGCGGGTTTTGATCGCGGTGCTACCTGAGACCGTGTTTACACCGCGGCGGGGCCCGCTACCGTTATTCTTCAACTAGATGTTCTTACCTGTAAAGTATTGTCGATTTTTAATCGTGTCGAAATGGGGGGGGGGATTACGACCACATTAATATTAATAGATTTATACCATTACATGGATTCTTTAAAAATTCATTTTTAAGTTTTATCAAATTGTTTAATAAAAAACATCTTTCTTTTTTTTTTTTACCAATGGTCACTCAAAATTAATTAATTCTCAAAAACGTCTGTTAACAGTAAATGAATACATGTACAGTATAGGATGAAATAAAGTCGAATAATTTATTGAAAATATTAACTTAAAGTTTATTTTCAAAATCAATAATGCCACCCCAAATGATCTTCAAATTGCTAAAAAGGTATAATTAAGATTTAAAGAATGCCATGATATCGCTTCTCTTTATATGCACTGTAATCCGGTGTTCACAATTAGCCCGTGCAGTTGCAGTTACATGTAGCTATGTGTTTATTTATCTGCGAGATTATATCAGTCATTTGGTTTCATTTAGAAAAGTACCGTTACTTCTGTATACATGTCTGTTATAAATAATAGCATGAAAAACGATGATAGATAATGATACATAATTACAATTAAATTTTAACAAAACACGCCTAAGTGTAGGAATACCGTTGCTCCATTATTATGCGCCACACTGTAAGACTATGAACTAAATATCGACGATTTTTTTGTGTGTGTGGGGGGGGGGGGGGGTTCTTGTTAATAAAATAATCACAGGTATTTCTATTCATAATATCAATAATATCATAGCTAGTATTTGAATGTATTTCTATTTTCTGCTCTTTTCGAAAATTACTAAAATCATGTTTATGACATAAACAAATTTCAGATTTTTCCGGTTCAAATAAAACACAAACATAAATATGGGCTCTTAAAATATTTGAACACACAACATAGAAATTAACTTATTTTAATCAGCAAGTTGCCATATGCTTAAGTTTTCAGATGTCTGTGTAACCGTTCGGTTTTCCTCAGGTAAGTTTGGTGTGGAGTGGAGCTTACTGAAGCGGATGAGAAGCCCGGAGGGAATGACGCTGTCTCGTGTACATACTACCTATATACACAGAATGTTACCTGAGTGTATTACCTGTATGCGTTTTCCTACGACATTGTAAAACGAAGCCGTTTTTTTTTTCATGTGTAGCTCATGAATTAAAATGCATGAAATAAAGAATGTTTTTGTTGCAAACAGAATCCTTTTTAAATTTTTTGTTTCAAATAAATATTTTCAATAATTCGACAATTTTAATATACTGTGTTTTTCTTAATCAAATTTTATAACAAAAATACATTTTATTTTACCACCAAAATCTGTCGTTGTAATCTGGGGACAAAAAGGGAAGTAATTCAAATGTACATATGCTAAACGAAAGAAGAAAGTGGATCATAAACAAGTCTCTCGATAAATAACAATAAAACTTAGACAAATTCGACAAATGGTCAATAAACTGATAAATCAGCGGTAGTTTTATTCGCTAGACTTAAGAAATTGATATACTGATCAAAAAGGAGGAAAAACGATCATGCACGTGCCCTAATATTGTGATATTTTTCTTCTCTCTCTCTCCTCTCTCTCTCTCTCTCCCAATCTTCTAACTGGTACAGATATAAAAAGACACGAAATAACATAGTAATGGATCATTATTTGATTTAATTAATATCAAATACTTCATTAATTTGTTTTAAAAGTTTTTTTTTTTTTATTTTATTCTTTTTATACACTCCGTTAAAAAAAAAGCAACAATAATTTGACACAAATTCCAAGGCTAATATCGCATCTGAAAATGATATCGATGAAATAATAATGAAACAATGAATCAAATGTGTTGTTGAATGGCTAGACAACGATGTGCACATCCAGCGAGCGTTACCCAAGGTATACTATAAGACAGGTGTGAAAACCCCAGGGCATGTCGTTTCCTGCTCAGGCACTGCTAATCCCTATACACAGGAAATGATCGCGGCTAATACTTAATACACAAAGAAACAGAATTTGTCAAAGAAAACAAAAGTACATGAATTTTTGCATTGAATATTTATTAATATAAACTATAATTTCGTCTGTGAAGTTTATCATTACATCTGCACATCCTATCTTATCTATTGAACACGAAAATTGAGAAATATTAAAATTAAAAGAAAGACATTGTATTAAAAAGTAAAACATGTTAATGTGAAGGTGAAAAACGATATTTTTTCTTGATCTCTTGTATAAAGTTCACGTGCTCAAAGTTAACTCTCGTCAAAGAATGCTTTCCAGTCATTTGACAATTTGAGAAAAATGCCTGCACATTTATATAAAAGAGGGAAATACATTAATATGTATAATATATAAGAAAATTAATTAATTAAATTAACTTAATTTGGGAACAGAACATAAACGATGAGAAATAAAGAAGAATAGAACTTTTTCTTGATATCTTGGATAAAGAAAATTTAAGTTCACGTGTCCACTACATGTAACTGCAAATGCTCGTCATCGGATGTTTTCCGGTAATTTGACACTTTAAGAAAAAGCCTGTACATTTTATGTAAAATAAATCGAAATTGATTAATAAACAATATGAAGATGTACATTTTTTAAAAGATGTACATCTTTTTTTTTCAAATGAATGCTGAAAATCGTTCATCGAAACTTAAACAGTCTGAGTTCAACATTTATTACAGTTTGCATATAGTATGAAGATTAAAAAAAAAAACTAATTAAATTTCTAGTATTTAATTTTGTTTCTTGATAGATTCTTAATAACATAAAATAATTAACCAATTGCAAAGACGTAACAATTTAATGAAATTTTCTATTCAATTTCAAAGATTGATATGTAATTTTAGAAACAAAAATAAACTTATTTTTTCTTAGTTTAAATTCTATTCATAGCAAAATTTATTAATAAACACACGGGTTTTTGTTTTTGTTTTTTTGTTTGTTTGTTTGTTTGTTTGTTTTTTTTGTTTTTATTTTGTTACAGGGAAAATTCGCAAATTTCAATTCGGGGAGATAACTCCCGTTTGTTTACGATACTAATTGTCAGTAATTGATCGATGATTTAACCGCGGCGGGGACAGGTAAGTGATGAATTTCCCGCGGAGGGAACGCGGTTTACCTGTCTACCTGGCCAAATACCGCGTTGTGATTATACCGCGGCGGGGACGCGGGAAATACGGGATCCGCGTTGCCTGTACTGTAGCAATATTCATATTTAGAGGTCTCTCCTAAACTGCGAAAATTGAATCCTTGCTAAAAAGTCTGCTTGCATGGTTATTTGAATTTAGCTGATAAATCTATAAAAATGATATGAGAAAAGATTCATTAAATCAAGGACATTTTACATTAAGAAGATATTTTTAATTAAGTGTGAATGATACAAAGTAATATTTTGTTTAAGATGGCTGGCGTGATGTGTCTCACGGATGCCACTATTCACAAAGAAATGGAGAGCTTCATTGATTGTAAGTTGATGTTAAGGCATTCTGATTTTCAGAGGATACAGTAAAACTCGGTTATAGCATAGTCCTGGGGACCTGTGAATTTAATTTGCTATATCCGTAATTCGTTATATCCATATAACGAATTTGTATAACTATATATAGCAAATTCGCAATATGAATATTTTCCTTCAAGAAAGCGTTGGTTCTTTTTTGAAATATTTTCTTCATTTAAGCAGGAAGTCAGTAGGATTTTGAAAGTGTTAGATAGAATTTATATCCTTGTGAAATCAAATTATTTTTCTGAACCTTGACAATGTCTACAGTTGAGCTTTGATTAGTTTCTTAAAGTCTGTGTTCTTGAATACCATGGAGATGTCAAATTAATTTTAAAGTCAAAACCACTATTCTTTTAAGTATTTTATACTTGATATATCGAATCCTGGGATATTTCAAAGATTTTTCTCCGTCCATTGACTTTGATTTAATGAGGTTTGACTGTATAAAGAAAATTAAGAATTCTTCTTATTTCTGAAATCCAACTTAACAAACCTGTCATATTTTTACGAAGTATCTTTTCTGATTAATTTCAGTTGAGGAGTTCGCAGAGGGAGCAGTTGCTCCAGGTAATAAAAGACAAGACGATGCCCCAGCTCTTCCAGGCGCAGTAACTGCATTTTCAAAAGACGAGACTAAAATCCGGAAAAATTTTCCAGAGACCTGGATCTGGATGGATGGGAAAAGCGGGTCAGTTTATGTCAGTAATGTAAGAGATAAAATATAGGTCAGTTTATGTCGGTAATATAAGAAATAAAAAGTGGGTCAGTTTGCCAGTAATATAAGAGATAAAAAGTGGGTCAGTTTGTCAGTAATGTAAGAACTGAAAAGCAGGTCAGTTTATGTCAGTAATTTTTCAGCTGAAAAGTAGTTAAGTTCATGTCAGTTATGTAAGAGATAAAAAGCAGGTCAGTTTGTGTTAGTAATGTAAGAGATAAAAAGCAGGTCAGTTTATGTCAGTAATGTAAGAACTTAAAAGTGGGTCAACAGTGTTTCTGCTAAATTTTAAAACCAAGGGTCATTATGACATTAATGTGTAGATTTAAAGACAATGGGAATGCAGCAGTAGATTTATTTTTACTCCTGTGTAGAATTTTTGTCTAAAAGATAACTCTATCTGATTCTTACTTCACCCTTGGTATACTCTTGGATTG